CAAAAAAAAAAGGTTTATTAATATTTTGTTTAAGAAGTATTGAGTAGATATATAAATTTTATGAGAGTTTGTTTATCTTGATAGATTAATGGAAATTGAATAATCAATACCTTGCCTTGTGGAATTTATAAAATTTTTTTCTATTTTAATACTTTGATTAATAAGGACTAGAAATAAGCTAGTTGGGGGGGTGTGATTAATACTTAAAAATGCATTTTTATTAAGGTTTTATATCATTATTTTACACTTGAAGTATCAATAACTCCTTAACTAAAGCATGTTTTATAATAACATATCTAATATAAGTGACACGACTAAAAGATTGATGTCTTCTCCCAAGTGCAGGAGTGTCGAAGTAATAAATAACCCGACAAGACCGGGGTCGAACCACAGGGAGGTTAATTGTACAAATTATAAATAACAATAATACAACAACAATAATAACCACAACAATAACAATAACAATAATAATAATAGTAATAACAATAACACTTATAATAATAATAATAATAATAATAATAATAATAATAATAATAAAGAAAAAGAAGGAGAAGAAGAAGAAGAAGATGATGATGAGAACTTTGAGATGAAAAATTAACGCAAGGATTAAACAATGATAACAAACAATGTCAAGGTTAGAGGATCCACTAATGTTATGTCAAACAAGTATAGTATAAACTCTTATTATTCAATTGGAAACCACACACAAAGGAGGTTCCAATCTGATTATAGATTGTTAACATGATTACATTAGTCATCTTATTCGATTAATGTTAATACTTGTAAATCTCGTCAAGCATTCATGATTATAACTTATGTTAACAACAAATCAAGTTCCTTTCATAGCTCAAGTGTCGGTTATACCATACAGTATGGGCTATGAAAGTGTCAAGCATTTGTTGTACCAATTGTTATACAACATAAATCAAGATTAGTCATTTAACAAGCAAAGTATTAAAGAGTGAACAAGATAACAAATATAAAATATGTTAGTATCAAACATTAAAGTCCATATTAAGTTTACACTATACTTATTCTTACACCATTAGTGTAACCTTTTCACCTTGACATAATAAACTTAGCTAAACATAATAAAAGAAAGAAAAATAAATAAACAAAATAAGAACATAAATAAGAAAAGAGTTAACTAAGTAAATGAAAGGAAATGAAAGGCATAAACTTGATATTAATGAAAGTAAAGCATAAACATTACAAAAAATACAAAGAGAGAAAGCAAGAGCATGATCTTGATCTGGAAACCAAGATGCCTAAATGCATGGCAAATGCCTCCTTTTATAGGCCAAAATTGGGAACTATTGATTTGATGACTAATTGATGAGTGGGTGGCCAACTCTTGACTTGGTCACAATCCTTATCTTCTCTTGTCTGCCCAAAACGTCATTGATAAAGTCAAAACTGGAGCCACTTGAAAACATGAAAGTTGTAGACAATTGTCTCATCTTTCTTGTGCAAAAGATTCAACTCATTTCGAGTTCTAGAACTCCAGATATGGCCAAAATACTGAACAGTGCTCGGGCTGGAGGACAGCTTCGGGCTTCTTTGTTGTTGCAATAATTTGGACTTGAAAATGGCCTTTTTAGATCTTGGGCTCCATATGAAAGTTGTAGGCCTATGTCTTACCTTTCCATCCATATAAAGTATACCTAAATCTGAGATCTATAGCTCCAGATATGACCCAATTACCGAACAGTGTCTCATCTCTTTGCCCTCGCAATTTGAGTTCTTAAAGTCATCAATCAATCCTTTCATTTATGTGATATGTCTACATTTAAAATGAACATTTACCATAAATTAAAGGTATCTTAAATTATTAGATATATTATTATAAAACATGCTTTAGTTAAGGAGTTATTGATACTTCAAGTGTAAAATGATGATATAAAACCATGATAAAAATGTACTTTTAAGTACTAATCAATAAGATACCTTTAATTTATGGTAAATGTTCATTTTAATTGCAGGCCTATCATATAAATAAAAGGATTGATTGATGAATTTAAGAACTGAAATTGAAAGGACAAAGAGATGGCCAAACTTAAAAAGAGATGCTGGTGCAATCCAAATCAAAACGCTATTCAGTAATTGGGTCATATCTAGAGCTGTAGATCTCGGATTTAGGTCTACTTTAAATGGATGGAAAGGTAAGAAATAGGCCTAGAACTTTTATATGGAGCCTAAGATTTAAAAAGGTCATTTTCAAGTCTTAATTGTAGCAACAACAAAAAAAGCTGAATCTGCCCTCCAACCCGAGCACTGTTCAGTGTTTGGCCCATATCTGGAGTTCTAGAAGTCCAAATGACCTCGATGTTTTACCCTAGAAAGTTGAGACAATTTCCTACAACTTTCATGTTTCAAGTGGTTTTAATTTTGACGTTATCAATGACGTTTTGGGCAGACAAGAGAAGATAAGGATTGTCACCAAGTCAAGAGTTGGTCACCCACTCATCAATTAGTCATCAAATTAATAGTTCCCAATTTTAGCCTATAAAAGAAGACATTTTCCATGCATTTATGCATCTTGATTTCCAGATCAAGATCATGCTCTTGCTTTCTCTCTTTGTATTTTTTTGTATTGCTTATGTTTTATTTTCATCAATATCTTATTTATGCCTTTCATTTCCTTTCCTTTACTTAGTTAACTTTTATGTTATTATTTTGTTTATTTGTTTTTCTTTCTTTCATTATGTTTAGCTAAATTTATTATGTCAAGGTGAAAAGTTTACACTAATGGTGTAAGAATAAGTATAATGTAAACTCAATATGGACTTTAATGTTTGATACTAATATGTTTTGTATTTGTTATCTTGTTCACTCTTTAATACTTTGATTGTTAAATGACTAATATAGATTTATATTATATAACACTTGGTATAACATATGCTTGACACTTTCATAGCCTATATTGTATAGTATAACCGACACTTGAGCTATGAAAGTAACTTGATTTGTTGTTAACATAAGTTATAATCATGAATATCTGATGAGATTTACAAGTATTAGTATTAATTAAATAAGATGACTAATGTAATCGTGTTAACAATTTATAATCTGATTGGAACCTGGTTTGTGTGTGGTTTTTAATTAAATAATAAGAGTTTATACTATACTTGTTTGATATACCATTAGTGGATCCTCTAACCTTGACATTTATTATTATCATTGTTTAATCCTTATGTTAATCTTTTATCTTAAAGTTCTCATCAACTTCTTCTTTTTCTTCTTCTTCTTCTTCTTCTTTATAATTATTACTACTACTACTACAACAACAACAACAACTATTTTTGTTATTATTGTAATTATTGTTACTATTGTTGTTGTTATTGTATTGTTATTATCTATAATTGATACAATTAATCTCTCTGTAGAACGACTTCGGTCTTGCCGGGTTATTTATTACTTCGACACTCCTGCACTTGAGAGAAGACATCAATCTTTTAGTCGTGTCACATGACATTCATTTTTTTTGTCTTTTAATTGTTTTTAATTTATTCTTTTTCAATTTCATCATTTAATATTGGATTGGTTGAAAAATAGATTGCATTATGGTTTTTTGTTTACTTTATATAAGAATAATTGTTTCAAATAAATGTCTATTTTTAGATCAGTGTTCAATTTTTATCATATAATTAAATAAAAAAATTTATAAAAAAAATTATTGAACTTAATAAAGTTTATTACTCAGGTCACGAGGGGATTAAGGTCGATCTAATCTATTATTATCGTAATATGTTTTAACAAATTGTCATGTTGAAATTCTTTTAAAAATTAAGTTATAATTTTTTTAATCATCAAAGTTGTATTTATATTTATAAAATCGATTTATTTAAGTCGAGTTAACTTTCATATAATTTAATTAAAAATTGAGTTAGGTAATAACATATAAAACAATAAATATTCTTAAAAAAAAATTCTCATACAGTTAATTATTATTATTATTTTTTATAATAATTACTCACTTACTTTTCTAAATTGAGAAATAAAATGAATGTTTCGAGAACAAGTAATCCAATCTATTAGATCATTAAAAGAGAGAATTAATTTTGATTGATGATAAAATTGTCTCGAAGATATCTTATTGTTCATTATATAAAAATTGATTCAGGTAGATTATTTTTAATTATTTTCACAACTTTATCAAACTTTTTTATTTTTCAAACCTCTACAACTTGTTCAAAAAATATACCTTTTTTTTAATATATCCAAATTACAATAAAATTATATTTTTTTAATTAACAAGTGATTTTTTTTAATATGTCTTCATCACCAAGAAAGATAAAAAAAATTCATATAAATACATATAATTTGATCATAAAAAAATATTTTGATGTATGTAAACTATTTCAAGTATAGGCCAATTGCGCTGTATTAAAAATTACAAGAGGTTATTTAAAAACAAAATAATACTTTTATTTTTTAAAAATTAAAGTTAAAAAATGAAATTTTATATTAAATATAATATTTTTCCATCTAGAAATGTGAAAAATTAACTTTCTATTTTTTCAAAATTAAATTTAACAAACATATTTTAGGTATTCAAGTTTTTCTTTCATTGTTTTCTAAATAATGAGAAAAACATGAAATATACAATTGTTTTCTTTTATATGTAAGCAGTTTTCAACAAATTAAGATTTTTTTTTATATTTTTAGTTAGTTTTATAAATCTAATTTTTATTATGAATATAATATAAAGATTTTTTTTTAAGTTAACAATATAATATTTCAATGATAGTTTTTAATTTAAATAAAATGAAATTAATACTCTATAATGAATATAATGCAAAATATTAAGATGATTATAGTTTTGATGTTTTGTTTTTTAAATAAAAAATAGCTGCTATCTCGATGTATTTATTTTATTATAGGAAAATTCATATTTATTTTCAATAACTAAAAATATTTTCTAATTTATTATTAAAAAAGAAAAACTATAAAAGAAAAAAATTGAAAAAAAGGAAAATTATTTTATATTAATGTACATACCTTAAAAAATCCGAATCTGAACTCTGGAACAACACATTACCCTGGTCGTTGAACATTATCATTTTATCTACAGGAGAAATGCAAGCAGCTGCAATAGCAGCCATGGCAGCCCACGCAATCCTCACAGCCATTCCACCAATTCTTCACCTCCCTCTCTCTCCACTTCCTCCTAATCATTCCTCTTTCCATGGCATCTCCCTTAACCCCTCACGCCAATCTTTTTCCCTGTCTCTCGCTGCCAAGAAGCAACCACCTCTTTTTGTTGTTGCTTCTGCTACCAAGAAAGCTGTTGCTGTCCTTAAAGGCACTTCTAATGTTGAAGGCGTCATCATTTTGACCCAGGAAGCCGATGGTCTGTCACTCTTGCCTCTCTCTCTCTCTTCTTTTTAATGTTTTGTTTTGAATGTTGTTGCTGGTTGAGGTTGACTTCTTGATTCTTTGTTGGGTGATAAGAAATTAGAGAAAAGAGTAAATGGGTATGCTTGGTGTTTGTTTTTGGGAAATGGGACCGAGAAAGAATTTTTTGATTAATTGAAGTTGTTTCTTGATGGATGTGCTAACCGCATTATCATTTTTCCTTGTTAAGTTGATATTTGATGATGCTTTTTTTTTTTGTCTAATTCAGATTATAGTTGAAGTTGTTGATTCTGAAATTAGTCAGCAAGCAGGGACAATGAGGCTGGAGCTTGGAACTAGATATGCAATGTTAAAAATTCTTTGTTCCAGATATGTTGTCATTTGATTTCTGCTTTTTAAAACATAAAATTTGAAAAAAGTTATTTCAGAAATTATACATGACAAATTGATTTCAATTACCCTCTTTCTTTCTTTTTTTCACAGACTGTCTGGTTGATGGTTTAATTTTTTTAACCTGTTTTGAGGTTTGGTTTTATTCTTTGATGTTTAATTTTGAAAAGTAGTTAAAAATGTTGTTTCCGAAAGGAGTTATACTGTCTTGTCGAAGTTTTTGAATTTCAAATCTGGAAATAGGAGATGCCTGCAATCCTGACTGAGACTTGAATTAGCTAATTGACAGGGTTTTTGTTCTTTCCATCACTGAAAAGCTTGAATATTCAATTATCCCTAGTCAGATAACCACTGTGGTTTAAGTTGAGTGGAGGTTAATGTGGAGAGTCATAATAATTGGAGCCCTGACTGTGATTTACATTATTTGCATTTTGCTTTCGAATAGGTCCTACAACTGTGAATGCTCGTATCACTGGGCTTACTCCAGGGCCTCATGGATTCCACCTGGTGAATGTTCCTGGCTTCAGTTTTTATCATCTTTGGACATGGATGTACTTTACTTTCCAAATCTTAATGTCCTTTTTTTCTTTTTGAATTACCATTTTTAGCATCAATATGGTGACACAACAAATGGATGCGTGTCAACAGGTAGTACATGAAACAACTGCATTGTAAATAAACTGTTTCAGTTTTGGCTCTTGTATTGTTTCAGTTAATGCATGGATAATCCTGATTCTTTATTTGTGTTATTATAATTTCCCTTTTCAAATTCAAATAACAGGAGCACATTTTAATCCTAACAATTTGACACATGGTGCTCCTGAGGATGAAATCCGTCATGCGGGTGACCTGGGAAACATAGTTGCTAATGCTGATGGTAATATCATTCTTCATTCTTCATTTGTTTTTTATGGGCTTCCGTGACCCAATTAACTTATCCTTGTAATTTTGAAAATACAGGGGTGGCAGAGGCAATAATAGTGGATAACCAGGTAATTTTTGTGAACTGAAGCATAATATTTTATTTTTTGACAGCCATTGAGTGTACTTTTTTTCTTTGCTTATGGGTTGACACATGGTTTATGTTCTTATTTTAGACTTTTCTGCTTTATTGATATGCATTTACTCAGTTTTAGAGTTTTGAAAAAAAAAAAAAAGTGCAGATACCACTGAGTGGTCCTAACACGGTGTTCGTGAGAACGCTTGTGGTTCATGAACTCGAGGATGACCTTGGAAAGGGTAAGTTCTTATTCAGGCATCCTGGATGCAAACTTTTGCAACATTAATTTTGTTACCTGGCAAACTTAGCTGAATATAAATTATTGCTTGCGCATGTGTTTTTATTCCTTTATGTTTGTTGCAACCATGAGAAACAATATGTCTTTTGTGTGAGGAGGGAGGGCATAGGAGACAGGAGCAGACTTTTAAATGCCTGTGAACTTGTTTTTTGCTATTTTGTTACTGTTATTTGACTATGAATATAAAGTCTTAAGGAACAAAGGCATGGATCACTTTGATGACCTTTGCTTTCTTGACATTCTTAACGTTTCCTCTCCATCCTTGCTGGTTTTTGCATCTATAGGCAGGCATGAACTCAGCTCAACCACTGGGAATGCAGGTGGAAGATTGGCATGTGGTATGTATGAAGAATTTTTTCTTTTTTTCCTTAAGTGCAGCTGTTGCATTTATATAGTAGCTAGATGGTCATGACTTGGTTGATCCATTCCTTGATCAAGTTGTATTTGATTGCTAGTTAAGATTTTGAAAATTATGGTTATTGATTTCTATAGATAGACCTGCAAAACTTCTGATGGCATTCTTAACTCCACACTTGTGTATGCAATGTTCATAGCTGTGCGCACGTGCCTGTGCACACGTGCATAATGTGTAATCTCCTTATTGTTTGCCTGTTTTGTATATGATCATGTGATAAGGTTATTGACAACTTGCATTTTGGTACCGCGGTACTTTTGGGAATGATCTGAATGTAGAAATCACATGGTAGAGTAGCAGTTCATACATTAGATGCATTATGTGATTGTGATCATGTTGGAGTGCTAGATGTAAAAATTGAAAGCATAAAGCAAGGCATCTTAAACAGCTTTTAAGTTTTGCAGTCTTTGTGAGGGCCGGATTTGATGTTAATTTTTTTTCTAACTCAATTTAATATTAATTCCAGAACTAGGATTTTACTGCATGCAGGAGCTAGGTTCTTTTGACCGACTCTGTAAAAGAAAAGAATATTCTTTTTTGACCACATATCTTGATGGAATTCCTGCATTGAGTGGTATCTCCATGTCCCTGACATGATTTCTCACAAGCTCGCAATTACTATGCTGTGTATATTCCATTCCAACTCATGAAGGCATGTCACCTAAGACATGGAGGAATACATTCCTGATTGCCCGCTCTTTTCTTTCATCGTCGCACGAACAGAAAAATTTTAAAATCAGCATAGTGTGGTAAATATTAATGATACATTTTCACAGGTTCTTGTTCTGATGAGTGTTGGTTCCCTCAATACAAATTTGCAGAAATCATTTGACCATGCATTTCTGGCTTTACAAGCATTGTTACGTTGCTGAAGTCTTGTGAACACACTCTAGTCTCTTATGCCTCAAAGCACCAATTATTTGACTGATAACGATATCAGTACATTGAGCAGAACACACTTCCTTTCTGTTTTTTCTTCCATATTATTTGAGGCCTTTTCTTACAATTTCTTGTGTAACTATTTTCATTACAGCTTCCAGTCCATCTCTCTGTAAAATCTTCATTAAACACTTGAATTCTTATTTCCATCCCTTTGTGTCGTGTGTGTGCAGGAGTTGTTGGTTTGACTCCAGTATAATGGCATCTGTTGTTCGAATCATTCTGGTGTCAGCGTTTGCTGCTTGCTTTCACCACTTTCTCATATAGAGCTCACTGTTAATTTTCTCAGTGTGTAAAGTAATACTATCAGGACAGCAAGTATCCAGTCATGATCTTAGACAGGTTTGCTATCTAAATAAACTTTGCTGCCAACGCATACCTTTGTCAATGCCCAGAATTTGGTATATCAGCAATTGATTTGATCAAATTTGGATTGTTAACTTCTTTATATTCCTCAAGAACTTCATAATGTTTCTATAACGCTTATTGTAGATCATTCCAGGACAACTTTTACAACGCCATACATATGGTTAACCGGGAAAATTTCTCCAATCTCCGGCCCTTGCCTCCCTCAGGTTGAAAAGAAGTGCATAGTTGGTGGAACAGGGCATGGTTATGGTCCATGTTTAAATCTAGATGTCATGTCATCACCCGCATCATAGTTCTACTAGGGTTTGATTTCAATATGATGCAAGCGAAAGACAACAAACAAGCACAAAAATTGATGAACGAAAAAGGTTATAGACACGAAACTTAAATTTGTAGTTTTACTTTCTGAAATGAAGTCCATCTTCTTAAGAGTTATATGAAGAAAACTGACTTGTATTAGATAATAAAATTAGAATTTTAAAATATAAAGAAAAATAACATAAAATTTAAAATTAAATATAAAATCTAGAAAAATTAAATGAAATTAATAAGATTAACTCAAACAAGATTTTTGGAGCTGAATTTGAAGATTTTTGTGTAGTGAATGGACCAATAAAATGGGTTATTCATAAAATTAAGCTTTAAAAATCTCTTTAAAAAATTGAGTTTAATTCAACAATTGTGTTAGAAGTTATGATTTTTTTAAAATATTACTAGGTTTTTTTAGACCTAATCCTATTTTAGTAGTCTATAGAATAATTTTGTTGGGCCATCTCTATAGCTTGTTTTTGGTAAATTCCTATCTAATTGTAGTAAATTCCTATCTAATTGTAGCATATCCCTTTATGATTGCATCAAACCTTTTGTTTTCGCAAGTCTGGAGTGTTTGAGAGTACTTCTGCTTATTTTTTTGGGTGTTTTTGGCTTAGAAATCATTAAAATGTTGTTTTTAGTGTTTTTTTGATAGTTTTGATGTACTGAAATAAAAAATAAAAAAATTATTTTAATATATTTTCAAATAAAATACTATTTTAAAAAAATACTTTTCATCACAATTTCAAACTATAATATATTGATTAATTTAATTAAGTAATATGAATGAGATACGTGATTTGACTTATGATTTATAACATATAGTTTATTTATCCAACTCATTTTCATTTGACTTATGATTTATAACATATAGTTTATTTATCCAACTCATTTTCATTAGTAAAACCTGCTAGAAATCTTGAGAAGAATGGAACATGTGTGCTTCCTAAAATATGAAATCTTGTACTAGCATTTGATAGATGACTCAATTCTTATTAAATTCTTATGATACCATGACATGGATTAGCCCATGAATACCAAGGACTCATTATATATTTTAAATAGGTCTATCACAAGATCCAAAGCGAAGGTATTAAAAAATATTGAATGGTCTGGTTATACAAGTTTTGACCGAGGATGAACTTGAAGATCTTTTTAAGTATTAAGAAAAAGCTTTAGTGCATTTAATCCATATACAAGAGGGTCTAATCTATCTTTATTTGGAACATGAAGTTTCAACAACAAGGATACTAATTTTGTATTAGTTTCAGCTAACCTTGTTTTATGATGTTTTCATATGTTTTATGGATTCCTAACTAGTTTTGGATTTTTTTTTATCATGTGTGGGAACATTAATTATTTTCTTTAAAAATTAGTATTTATTATTTTATTTTTATTATCAGGTGAGGAGAAAAAACAACAAAAGAAACAAAAGAAAAAGAAATCCAAGTACTTAGAAAACACATATGGGGGCAAAGAAGAGCATTAAAGACAACATTTTTTCCCTTTCAAAAGAAGAATAAATACAAGGCTAAGATCATAATTCTATTCTAACTTGAAAACAAAAGGGGTGACAACATCTCCTTTAGTTCTTAGGATTATTGAATAACAATATAAGCTATAAATAAGTTTTTTATTATATCTAAAATGTTTTCTTTTCTTTTTCTCTTCTCATGGTAGAATAAGACTTAGACGTATAAGCTTTATTTTTATTTTGCTAGCTACTTGTTTGAGTTTAATTAATACTTTTTTTTTTAACTAGGATATAATGCCTGTTTGGATTAGGGTTCCAATTTACTAGTAAAGGTTTGAAGTTTTTTTTTAAGTGAGTCAATTCAACCTAAAAGAGTAGATTCATTAGGGTTAATTTCTCAGAACTATTTAAACACATGTAAAGTCTAAATTTTTGCACCTTTGATGAATAATACTTTTGAACTTTTCAGTTTAACATGTGAGAGAAACTAAAACTGACTTGTCAAAGATTAATTGGCTTAGTGACATCATTTGACTTTATTCTAATAGTGTTGGTGCCTTGGGGCAGGTTTCTATTTTGTCACACTCGTATTAGATCTCATTTGGTTTTACAGGATCATATCTTAATTAAGATTGTGAGTTGCATGACCATGTGATTATAAGGTTCGTATTAGTTTGTATCATAACAAGGCTTAAAAAACAGGTTATATCTTCATGAAATTTTTATTTTCCTAGTGTTCGTCAAGTTATTTTAGTGTTTACATCAATTTTCTTCTTCTTCTTTTGTTATAAGGCATACTAATAAAAAAATTAATATTTTGATTTTTTTACTGTCTCTAAACATATCAGTAGTATAAAATTAAAAAACAGAAAGCGTTATTCAAAGCTTGTTGCAATTCTAATGTAGAAACATAACTCTTAGAGAATCCTAAGCAAACCATCTCATAATTAATTACAATTTCATATATTGCTTATTGTGGGTGAAATCACATTACATATTAAATTTGACCTTATTTTAATATCGGTTGTTTGAGGTTTCAATTCAAGGTTTAAATACCTAAGTATAAGAGAACAATCTAGAAACTAAGATCTGTAGATTTTTGGGTATTAGGATAATACATATTGAATTTTAGGTTATTCCAAACATTATTCAAAGCTTGTTGTAATTTTGCCGCAAAAACACAACTCTTAGAGAACCCTAAGCAAACCATCTCATAATTAATTACAATTTCATATACTTCTTACTATGAGTGAAATCACACTACATATTAAATTTGGCCTTATTTTGATATTGGTTGCTTGAGGTTTCGATTCAAGGTTTAAATACCTAGGTATAAGAGAACAATATATAAATTGAGATCCGTAGATTTTTAGGTATTAGGATAATATATATTGAATTTTTGGTCATTCCAAAATTGTTAGGTATGTGTTTCAATTCTAGTGCTATAAAATTGTGTAACAATCAAATTTACGTCAAGTTTCAAAATGTGTTTGTCTACTATTTGTTTCAACCAAATCATTTTTTTATATTATATTTGGGTTATTTAGGGTCAAATAAGTATCTTCATTAATTTTCAAATCTGTTTTATTTTGCATCTTCGTTTCACCCACAATTCATACGAATTTGCATTGCTCTTCGTGAAATCATTATCTTAGTTTTGTTTTGCTTGTTTTTAGTATATTTATTGATTCTTGAGTCTATATTCATAATTTCATTACGTTGCGAAAGTCTTTGACTTTGATTGGCTAGATTTTTAGTTTTGAAAGAACCGAAAAAAAGCAAGTTGTGAGGTAAAAGGCATAGTGAGTTTATTATAGTGAAAAACCTTGATTTTGTGTGAAACATGAGAGGTGTAAGGAAATATTTTGTGCTACTTACCAAATTTTTGCAAATTTCAAAGGGTGTTCGAAAACAACAAATCAACAACACCAAACACCAAATTCTCTTTCCAAATGTGAGTTATAGGCTAACAAATTGAACTCTTAACTAAGGTGACCAGAGAGTTTAAGGTTGAAATGGAATCAATGAAGCAACATATTAGTAATGTTTGAAAGGCTATATGAAATGATAGAGTCGATTTTGATGAGTTTGTTGATGATAACGCTGATAAGGGTGGTGATGACTATAAGTTTGCATCCATGGGCTAAGGAAATAGGTTTGGGCTGAATAGAGCAAGAATGAATGTAAGTTTTGAACATGGTGGGGTTTTTGATTTGAGAGAGAATTCTTGAGATTTTAGGCATCATGACGATTCAAATGTAACAAGCGTGTCGAAAGCTATTTTGGTAATAGGACCTTAGTAGAGTTATTATGTGGAAGTGCTAGTGTAGGACAATCCAATTTTAGTTTTTTTTTTTTATATAGTTTACACACTTTTGTATTACCTTTTCTTGCTGCCGTATTTATGTTAATGCATTTTCCAATGATATGTAAACAAGGTATTTTGGGTCCTTTATAACTTTATTCCTTTTATTCTACTGTGCTTAGGCATGAGTAGACTGTTTTCCTTATTTGTATTCAATGCATTTTCTTGTTTAAGATAAAAGGTCTCCCCTCATAACATGCCTTATTTGATAGTTATTCCAAGAGTTTATGAGTAGGAAGAGGTTTAGGAAGTTTTCAAGCAAGAAAGGCAAGTCTTGGCTACGATAGGGCTATGATTCCCATAGAGAAAGAAGAGTTTACAGCTACCGGCACCGACTCGAACTAATAAGAGCTACCTCACCACTACCTACTAGTGCCTTCCTGGTCTGGATCCTGTTGCCGAAGCTCATAATTCCGGCTTTCTGCACGAGATCCTTGTAGGTCTCTGACCCTTCTATTCTAGGTTTGAAGGAAAGCAGCGGGTTGTGTTCCGGGGGATAAAAGGGTCCCATTCTCTGACTTGCTAATCAGAAGAACTCCTACTCCTACTTGCACGTGTCATGGGCACACCCCTACCTCACACAGGATGGAGCTCGAATCCCATCGTTTTCCAAGAGACCCGAACCTAATCTCGAAAAGCTCTGGGCATGCCGGCACGGGTTATTTCCACAAATGGGACTGGTTATCCTACGTTCTATTGAGTGGGGACTTCACAACTCGCTGGTTGATCATCATTGGGAGGTTTCTCCAGACACAGAGGCTAGGAACATTCTTCTCTTAACAGATGAAAGGGGGAAACTTGGATCTTCTTAATAAGAAAGAAAGAAGTGATTCTCTTTTGACGGCCTCTGCCTTCTCCAATCCTGAAGCTGTAGGCTAGGGTTTGATGACAAGTGAATTTCCCGCTGTTTTGGTCTTGGAGCTTGGATGAGGACCCTTGCTTTAGTCAAGCCAGGCTTTCCCATTCCATTTCATTCATTAGTGATCTCTGGACCATGCCCGGGAAAGAAGAGTAGGACCCAAAGATCTCAGTTTGCCCTAGAAGTAGCTGCTACCGAAGTTCTAGTTGTCTGAGTTCCCGCTTCCTGAGTTGGAGTTGAGGGCGAAAGAAGCTCGTACTCTTTCTCAGTTCCCGGGGATACTAGGTCTTTTTCTTAGGCAGAGCTCTCTCTGTCTTTCGTACTTCCAGCTTCCATAACTAGTTATTTGCGGAGCTTTCTTCTTTC